CCTCCTCATTTTCAGCAAAGCTGTGTCATCTGCACAATGCAGATAATTGAGGAGTCTCCCTCTCATCCAGATGCCATATTCCTCTTCACAGAGTACAGCTTCTCAAAGAATTTGCTCAGCCTACAGACTGAGTAGGTATGGAGAGAGAATACAACCCTGACACACTCCTTTCTTAATTTTAAGCTATGTAACGCTCCCTTGCTCTATTTGCACAACAGCCTCCTGGCTTATATAGGTTTTGAATGAACACAACTGAGTGCCCTTGGATTCCCATTCTTCATAATGTCAGCCATAACTTGTTATGATCCACACAGTGAAATGCCTTTGCATAGTCAATAAAGCATAAATAGACATTTTCCTGGTATTCCTTACTTTCAGCCAGGATCCATCTAACATCAGCAATGATATTCCTAGTGCCCTGGCCTCTTCTAAATCCTGCTTGAAATTCTGGCAGTTCCCTATCTATGTACTGTTCTAACTGCTTCTGAATGATATTCAACAGTATTTTGCTTGCATGTGATATTAATGGTATTATTCTATAGTTTCCACATTATGTTAGATCACTTTTCTTGGGAATGGAAACAAATATGGATCTCATCCAATTCACTGGCCAGACAGCTATCTTCTAAATTTTCTGTCACAGACTAATGAGTGCACCCAGGGCTCCATCTGTTAACTGAAACAATTCAACTGGCATCCTATAGATTCATGGGGCCTTATTTTTTTGTCAGTGCCTTCAATGCAGCAAAGAAAATGAAAATAAGTCCATAAGAACCAAGATATGATCTTAAATCTATTCCATTTGAATTCCAAGATCAACTTAAGGTTTGAAGCACTGACTGAATACCAATGATTGAAGATCAGATGAGTTATTAGATGATACCAACCATGAAGAAAGGAAAAGGTCATTACAAAGATGGAAGAGAAAGAAAAAAACAGAATAAATGGTTAGATGAGACTCTAAAATTTGCATTATGGTGTCAAAAAGACAAAACAAAGGGGAAACATGCTGAAGTAAAAGAGCCGAACAGAAAATTCCAAAGGGCAGCTCAAGAAGACAAAGCAAAGTACAATAATGGAAAGTGCAGAAAGCTGGAAATGGAGAATAAAAAGGGAAGAACTCGCTCTGCATTTCTCAAATGGAGAGAACTGAGAAACAAACTTAAGCCTTCAGATGCAATACTGAAAGATGCTATGGGCAATATACTGAATGACCCAGAAACCATCAAAAGAAGATGGAGGGAATACCCAGAAACACGGTTCCAAAAAGAATGGACTGACACGGAAAAATTTCAGGAAGTACCATATAAGCAGGTGTTATTGTTAGGTGATGTTGAGTACAACTCATACTGACTCTATGAACAGAAGATCTGAACCCAGTCCTGTCCCGCGCCATCCTCATACTTCCTGACACACACACAAGAGCCCATTGCAGCGGCCACCATAGGCTCTGGAATGGAGGAGGATGCGGAAGCTGCTACGATGGCACTGGCAGTAAGTCAGGCCTGTGGGAATGAGTGCTTCTGAAAACCCGCTGGAGGGTCAGCTACCTGACAGTTCCGACTTGATGGTACATAACCCAACATTGTTGTTGTT